TAAAAAGATAATACAAATGACTTTTTAATGTAAAAGACTTAATATTATATAGCATAAATATTATTAATGATATACTACAAATGGAGTGCTAGGCTAAATAGCTAGTTAAATATTGAAACCAAGATTTTTAATTTGAAATCTATAATTGATGATATGACAAGGAGAAAAATAATATTTGGCAATCTTATTAAAACCATTTAAAATTTTCTTTTTGTCTAATTATCTTGATTTTCTGAAAACAATGCTAGAATTGTTACATATTTTTAAAATTAGAAAATTCTATATTTGAAATAGCTTTACAATGTTGGAAAGATATTTTATTAAAGTATTCTCATAGTTTTTAAATATGTAGTTTGTTTCTATTTAATTTAAATATGAGTATCTTTTTGGTAACAGATATTAAATGAAGCTTAATATAATCTAATATTTTTTGGTTAACTAATTATGAGCTATGATTAATCAATACCCAACTTTAATCAAGACTTTGAGATCTATTCCTAATTAACAAAATTTCAAAATTTATTGAACAATAATATTCTTAGTTATAATCTTGAACTATATTATCTTTTAATTATTAAAATAAAAATTATTTGATTTTTAGTATTTCAAATATTTCAATAAGTGAGCATAAAAAAATTAAGAAGAAATTGAACAGATTAGTATTGATCCCAATTAAGGGGAGATAACATAGGTGCCAATAAAAAGATTTTGGGAAGGTAATTCTTAATAATATCGACCAAAATTGGTTTTTCTAAAATTAATTGATATTTTGAAAGAGACTTCATTTGCCAAAGGAGATTGGATTATTTATTATTATTATATTTAGCTTACTATTCAATATCCTCAAATGGAACAAACTTTGCTTTGATTACCAATGATCAAAATATAATTGTCTATAAGAATAATGCTTTAACTCTTTGTTTAATATTAAATCAATACTATAATAATAGATTGTTACTATTTAAACAATTTAGAAATAAAAGAATTATAACATGGCAACTAAAAGACACATTATCAAACATAATCTTAACTGCCATAAAAAAATAATTCAATAAATTATAAATGGATCTAATTAATTCACAGTTTATGCAAAAATTACTCAGTTCTTACTTTGTTTTCATTAAAATTTGTAAATATAACATCTTGAATCAATGACTTTATTGATTTTGATGTTTCATCAACATATATTAATTTTATTTATGTGCTTTCATTAAATCTCCTCTAATAATTAAAAATTTCTGATTAATATACTTTTGAAATTAATGCTAATTCTTTAAATTTTTACTTGATGATTGGAAAGTTATAAGTTTTTCTGTGAATTATAATGACATAATAAATTCTTAATGTGATTAAATTATACTTTTATTTTATTAAGAACAACACATCTTTTTTCTCAACAATGATGGATGCTTAGATTCAATTTAGAACCAAATGAATTTACTAAAATCAAGATATAATAAGGATAGCCACTTTAAATTATATTCAATGATTATTTTTTCTCAATTCAAATGGCAAATA